AGTAGAAGATGCACGTCCAATTAGCAAACCTACAGTGCCAGGCGGTAAAGGCCCTTTGAACTCAGTTTCCACCAATTGGACTCCCATCTTAGGTGTTAATACGAGTCTGGAGGTGGAACAGAGGTCCAATCCCGCGGCACCTGTAGTGGCTCTCCGCGTCTCATGGGATGGCGTAGAGATGGCCATGTCTCGGGTTTGGGTGTGACATTCTCCATTGCCCCATATATTTGTGGGCCCTGGGGTCGGGGGCCCCTTCGGCCGTTTTTTGGCCCAGCTGAAATAGGCTGTCCATGGATGTCCCTCATTGATCTACACTCTTTTGCCCAATGCTTCCCTTTTTTACATTTTGGACACAGCCCTGGTTGACGAAAGCCATTGGAAGGGCCACCGTGAGGGGGTCCAGTAAAATTATCTTTTTTAGGACATTCACGTCTGAAATGACCGGGCTGACCACAATGGAAGCATGTTCCGGCACCAGGATTGCCCCTTTTTGCCACCCGAAGGACAGCAGCTGCAAGACCTGCATTAGTTAAAGGTCCTCCAATCTCTCTACACACTTTCATCCATGCTTCTATGCCCTTATTTTTATAAGGAGTGATTGCCGCTTTACATTCCTTGGTGCATTGTTCAAAGACCAATTGCTTGATAAGGGGCATGGCTCTATCAGGATCCCCAAAAATCTTTCCAGCAGCATCCACCATCCTTGCTACAAAATCTGAAAAAGGTTCTGTAGGGCCTTGTAGAATCTTGGTCAAATTGCCAGACACCTCTCCTCTATTTGGAAGCGACTTCCATGCCCGAATACAAATATTGTTAATTTGATCATATGCCTCAAGAGGAAATCCTGTCTGTTGATTTGCAAATCTACCCTGTCCCAAGAGCATATCCTTGTCCCAATGGGGGTGTCCCGCTGCATGGTTTTGGGCGGCCTGCTCTATTGCGCCCTCTAGCACGAATGCTCTCCAGTCCAAATATTTACCCGGGGAAACGCAAGCCCGAACAAGGCTAGCCCAATCAGAGGGAGTCATACAGTATCTAGACAGATTTTCCACCTGAGTCAGCGTGAAGGCGGCATCCACCCCATAAGTGCGTACAGACTCCGCCAGGGTCTTCACAATTTTAAAATCTAAGGGTTCATGGACTCTTCCCCTGTTGTCATCCTGAAAAACTGGATAAGCAAGACCCATCTCAGCGTGAACAGCCCTCCATGTTTGGGCATGGAAAGCTCTTCCCGAAACGCCCCCGCCATCCGGCGGTGGATCCGGGGGATCGCTTTTCTTGAGCCCTTGCTTATCTGTGTTCCCTTCTCCTACAGCTAAACTCCCTAGCTGACGAGACAGCCTCTCGAGCTCTTCCTCCTCATCCTCCTCCTCCTCTGACCCACTTTCGCATGGGGGTGTACGCAGCGTACTGAGATCTGGATACAACCGTTTCCTCCCCCGTCTCATGCTCTGCACACTCCCATCCTCCCGAGTCACTTCACTTTCTGCCATCTCCGATTTTTCCTCATGCAATCGCTCTAAAACCTCCTGTCCTTTAGTAAGTGCTTCCTGACATCTATCATCTGTAAGGCAACTACGGACCATTTTCCAAAGGGGTATCACCCCACCCTCTAATATGCCCTGCTCAGAAGCAAAGTCAAGATCTTTGCCTAATTTATCCCAACTAGGCACAGTAAGGCTGCCCGAAAATGCAAACCACGGTGCAGCGATATCTATCTTCTGTAAAAATCTCTGTAAAGTACTATGTTTCACTTCCAGTCCCTTGGAACGTAACAGGCCATCTAGGGCCAGGAGAAGCGGACTTGAAGATGCGGCACCCATGACACAACAACAAAGAAAGCAAAAAAAAAAGAAAGCGAAAGTAGGAGCGAAAGTACACAGTGCAGCTGCAATAAAATGTAAGGCTCTCTCTTTCATTACAGAGGAGCTGTCCCGCTTTGGTCGCGGATCCCACTTACTAGGGACTAACCCCGCTTTGATCGCGGATCCCACTTATTGGGACTAACCCCGCTTTGATCGCGGATCCCACTTACCTGGGACTAACCGGTGCACCACCCCTGACTGTTGAAAGTTCTGGTTCCCGGGTCTCGGCGCCACTTGTCGCGACCCCTTGCCCGCAAGGAATACGCAACTCGAGAATCTTCTTTCAACAGTTTATTCAGGTCCCTGGATATTTCTTCTTCTTCCTCTCGGGTGCCCCTCCCAGCCTTAATAAAGCATCCCAAGCCCCAATGCAAAGCTGCCGCGTGGAACTTTCTCACAGGGTGGTGAAAAATCATGTGCCAACTTTCCCAGATAAGAAATTGTTTGTCACAGACCACAGCGGAGCCAGCGCCATCTTGTAATGGCGACCATAATCTGCAGAAACGGCAGAAGCGGCTCACCACACCTGGGAAAGCTGGGAATGGAACCACCATTTGACCCAGCTATTGCCCTTCTCGGACTATTCCCTGAAGACCTTAAAAGAGCGTACTACAGGGATACTGCCACATCGATGTTCATAGCAGCACAATTTACAATAGCTAGACTGTGGAACCAACCCAGATGCCCTTCAATAGATGATTGGATAAAAAAAAAATGTGGCATTTATACACAATGGAGTATTACTCTGCACTAAAAAATGACAAAATCATGGAATTTGCAGGGAAATGGATGGCATTAGAGCAGATTATGCTAAGTGAAGGTAGCCAATCCCTAAAAAACAAATGCCAAATGTCTTCTTTGATATAATGAGAGCAACTAAGAACAAAACAGGGAGGAAGAGCAGGAGGAAAAGATTAACATTAAACAGAGACATGAGGTGGGAGGGAAAGGGAGAGAAAAGGGAAATTGCATGGAAATGGAAGGAGACCTTCATTGTTACACAAAATTACATATAAGAGGTTATGAGGGGAATGGGAAAAAAACAAGGAGAGAAATGAATTACAGTAGATGGGGTAGAGAGAGAAGATGGGAGGGGAGGGGAGGGGGGATAGAAGAGGATAGGAAAGGTAGCAGGATACAACAGTTACTAATATGGCATTATGTAAAAATGTGGATGTGTAACTGATGTGATTCTGCAATCTGTATTTGGGGTAAAAATGGGAGTTCATAACCCACTTGAATCTAATGTATGAAATATGATATGTCGAGAGCTTTGTAATGTTTTGAACAACCAATAAAAAATGCAAAAAAAAGAAAAGAAAGAAAAGAAGAAAGGGGAGCAAAACAAAAAAAAAAGAAAGACAAATGCCGTTTTTTTTTTCTGTTTGTCCTATGCTCGTGCACAACAATGACTCTGTCTTAAAACAGTATTCATGTCCTTCAGTGCCTCTGCACAATGTACAAAATACCACCATTTGAAATTACAGCCATTGACAAGGCTAAGTTAAGGAGATGTCAGTCTTGATGATGATAGTGAAGAAAGTAGTATTTGTGATGTGATTGTGATTACAATGGTTCATTCCATTTCTTCAAAAAAATATACTGAATGCCTACTGATATGGAAACTTGTGTATTCATTCATTCATTCAAAAACGCACATAATGTTAATGTGACTAATGAAGAAATACACTAGGGCCTAGATAAGATCTTTTTATTAATCAAACATTTATTAAGAGCATATCACATGCAAGAATACAATAGAAATCATGTTCTACTGGGGATGCAGGACAGAGATCATTATATTTACACATATATACACCTTTATACATTATATACACATACACATTTATATGTATATATAATGACATATAAGTATGTGTATTACATATATAGCATAACATTATAATGATATATATAGTATAGATTACTTAATGTATTATATATATCATTATATATTTATATATAATTATAAATTGAAAGATACATACACTGTACTCTGAGGTGAGAAAATGAGTGACTTGATGTAGTTAGAAAAATTTCCTCCAAGGAGTTGAGGCTAGATCTGAAGTTCAAGATGATTAGAAGTGATGAGGATAGAACAAGGAGTTGTATTTCCATGAGGAGGAGCTGGGATAACCCTCGCTAGAGGGAACATACACATTTGAGGAACCTGAAGAAGGGCACTTGTGTAATTAGGAAGGTATAACACTCAGACAACACTATAAATTTCACAGATATGTACAATTTTAAGAACACATGAAAACACAGTAAAGTGGGTGTCAATGGTAGGGACTGAGAAGAGAATGAAAAGAGTTAGAAATGAAAACAAAAAATAAGAAACAGAACAAGAATTTTAAAAATTATTATTGTGTGCAATAAACTTAGAGCATGCTTAACTCAAGTCTCTGCTCTTGAGACTAAAATTGAAGAAATAAAATAATAATTACCATTTCTTCCAAGAAGTAAAAGTATATAATATTATAGGAGTCGTTGAGGTCATCTATCCATAGACTGAGAAAGTACATAGAATAAAGAAACCAAGCTTTATCTGTAATTCTGGAGTTAGATAATATATGAGTATTTTAAAGTATTTTTTTCTCATAAACTTGAACTCTAAAATATCCATAGATTGGCATTTCTTTTTCTCTAACACCAAAGTTTCTCTGGTAACAAGGACCTATCCACTCCCATGCACAGGCTGTGTGAGTGCCGTGTGACAGAAGGTGCTCTGTTTGTTTCAATGCTCAAAATAGGTATCCAGTTCCTCTCTCCCTGAACCCCTCAGTCACTTGAATCTCGATCCATCAAAGTCCTGTTTCTTAGTTACTTGATGTATTTGTATTATCAGCACAAATAAACTATAAGCTTTTGGATAAAAATGGTATCAGAAAATTACTTGCTTAATAATTAGTTGAGATATAACAGCCCTTCTTAGTCTTTTTCCCTAATAGCTGAACATCACAGAATCCAGAAGTTATTTTGCAATTTACAGCCTCTAAAGATAACTTTATTTCCTTTATCTTCACTGTCCCCACCAGACAGTATACCTGAGCTGTGAGGCTTCTGCCCCATGGGAGAGGGCCACTCTGGCCCCTGATGTTCAGCTGATGAAAATTATACTCAAGTGGGATCAATCTATTTGAAGCCTAGAATTGTGAACAGCCGCTCCCGGATCTGCTTGGTTTTAACCCCATAGACAATGGGATCCAATGCAGGAGGAAAGAGCAAGTAAAGATTAGCAAGGATGACCTTGGCAGCAGAGGCTGTGGGTGGCCCAAAGCGCTGCATGACCACAGAAAGAAAGCCTGGTCCATAAAAGAAGAAGATGACACAGACGTGAGCTGTGCACGTGCTGCCTGCTTTTGCACGTGCCTCAGGTGAAGGAATACGCATCACAGTCTTCACAATCTGCCCATAGGAGTAGGCAATAAAGGCCACATCCCCGACACCAAGAAAGACTGCCACGGTAAAAGCATAGAGGTTGTCCACAGTGGTGGCCCCACAGGCCAGCTTTACCACTGCCATATGTTCACAGTAGGTATAGGCAATCGTGTGCGAGCCACAGTAGGGCAGTCGACGAGCCAAGCTTGGAAAGAAGATGGTCAACCCCACACCTCGAAGCACCACCAGGCCCCCAATCTTGGTGACAACAACTGGGGTCAGGATGGTTGTGTAATGCAGTGAATTACAGATAGCCACAAAGCGGTCGAAAGCCATGGCCACGAGCACCCCTGACTCCATGGCAGAGAATGCATGGATGACAAACATCTGGGAAAGGCAGGAGTAGGAGCTGATGGCCGTAGCATCAAACCAAAATATAGCCAACATCTTGGGCAGACTGGAAAGGGAGAGGACCAGGTCAACAAAAGACAGCATGGCCAGAAACAAAAACATGGGCTGGTGAAGACTGTGCTCTGTCCAGATGAGAAAAAGCAGGATGCCATTCCCAGTCAGTGCCAAGAAAAACATGAAACAGAAAGGAAGTGAGATCCAAATGTGGGCAGCAGTCAGTCCTGGGATGCCAACCAAGAAAAAGGTATGTGGGAAGAGATGAGAGTTGTTGGAAAGAATCACGGCCATCATCCCACATGGAAGAACAAAGGGCCTCTGCAAAGAAAAGCAGGCAGGTGAGACACAATAATGGGGAAATTGGGAACTCGAGATACATGGTCTCATTACACCACCAACCACCCCCACATCAATTTCCCCAATCATTCTCAGGGGGAAAGTAAAAAATAATTTTCAGTTCAGTCAATATTTCTGCAAAATCTTCAAACACAGAAGAGGCAAGTTGGTAGGCAATACATTGAACAGGAAGTTCAGAAACCAGGTTCCAGGTTACATATCCCACAACATGTGGGATGCAGGACAATCCATATAATTTAAGGCGATGCCCAGGAATTGTTGAATAAAAATCATTCCCATGAAATTTATATTCCCAAATTCTGCATGCTTGTGTTTGATTAAATCAAACTGACCTCAGCTGATCCTCTGGCCTTATTCTACTAAATTTCATCTGAACCACCAAAAATCTGACATTAGAAAATCCCTTAGTTTAGAGACATCCTACTCCTCCAAACTTCACTTGAATGCCAAGACTAACGAATAACATGCTCCCTGATGACTCCAACATTGATCGGCTCTTCCTTGCTTCTCTTTCCAATATTACCATGTCTGTCTGACTCTACAACCTCCCATGTTTTCCCCTCCTTCAAGGTGATATTGTACTGGAGTTGACACAAAGTTTATCATTGTGGTGACCTGCAGGAAACAGAGGCTCTTGGTAACAACAGCACCACGACGGCCAAAGAATTCTGGATCACAGTCACCTTCATGAGAACAGGAAAGAAAACTGGCAGATGTGCCTTCCTGCTCTTCTCTTCATGTTTTCACACTAAGAGTTTACATTATTCATATCCCCAGGATATGCCACATTCAATACATCATTTTATGGGTTAGAAAACTGAGATCTGGAAAGAAGTAAATTACCCAGCATCATGCCTTTGTGTGAGTCTTCACCAGCCCATGTTTTTGTTTCAGGGTGTAATCAAGGGCTCCTGTATGCCTCCAAGCCCCTCAGCCATAGAGGGTAATACAAAGGGATTAAATAACAGGGCCAATAGGGAGGACTTAGGGATTATGTCTTTCTGACATCTTAATACCTCAAGTACCACAATCCTCACATGTGAGAAACAGACACAAGGACACACAGATACCTGGTTCTCGGGTCTGAGAAGTCTTTGGAATGTAAGATAAATGATTTCACCAATTCACATTCTAAGCATAAAAAAGGTACAGCCAGATTGATTTTTATAGCCTCAATGACAGCAAAAGAGGTCTCTAAGCATAAAGGAAAGAACTCAGCCTGGAACAAAGTCCAAGAAAGAAATGGCACAGCTTTAAAATGGCCAAGAAAGTTTCCTTTTTTTATCTCCAAGAGAAACCACATATAATTATTCCCCATGCCTTCAACCACAGCTGCCGAAGAGACCAGGCAATGATGGCAGAAGGTGTGTGGGCGAGAAAGTATGAGTGGACCTAGAGTTTTAGTGTCATGGAATAGACTATTGAGAAGAAATCAACATACTGGTTCAGGGCACCTTTTATGTCAAATGTCAGCTGTGTGACCTTAAAAGAGCATCAGGACACTTCAATTTTCCTCACATGCAAAATGATTATACTAGAATCTATCTCAAAAAGGCATGGAGGGAATTGAGTGAGAGGTAATATGTAAAAATTCATTGTCAAAAATACTGAAAATAGTTTGATTTTTAATATTACTGTTTTCACTGAACTATAATAGACACTACTTTGGGAGGAGTCTGCTTAAGAATAACAAAAACTTTCAAAATTGAGAGACAAACCAGATAACCTCCATGGGTGGATGCTGTGTAGCAAACAGGAGCTACCCAGTTAAAAGCACCATATCCTCCCAGAAAATGCTCCCTCCTTTCTTCCCAATAGCATGTTACTTCCCTCAGCAACCCCAGAGTATAAGAGTGTCAAGAGATGTGGCTCTGATCACCAGAACATCTGCTTCAAATTATCTTCAAAACTGCCCTTCCTTAAACCTTTATCCCCAGAATATTGTCGATGTCTCAGTTATCCTCTTGGGACTCAGAAATTGCTCCTTATTATGTCCTGGTGCCTTATGAAAAAATCTGACCCAGTAAACTCAGATCTTCTACCTCTATCAAGGATGCAGGTAAAGAGAGGCAGTGGGTCTAGGAACCAGAGAAGTCAGGGACTTGTAATTGGGGTGGATTCATAAACCCTGCAGGTTTCACAGAGGAACACTCTTCCAAAGAACCTATTTCTAACCTAGGACTAGGTGAATGTTTGCCTGTGATGGAGTGAGGAATTCTCACATCCTTAATCCCTCCCTCGCCCTGTTCCATAAAAGGTCTTTCTTCCTTTTCCACCTTTGTTCCACCAAGGTCTAGATCAGTTTCTGACAAGGTAGAATATTGCCTGTGTTTTTTATTTTTCCTACTAAAATGGACAGCGCACAATTCTACCCCAGGAAGGCTGATTGTTCAGATTTGGAAAACTTAGGGGAAAGTTAATAGATAGATGTAGCCAGTATGGATCTCTCTTTCCTGATCCTATCCTTAGCCATTACTTACCAAAGAGCTGTAATGACTGACCTACAAGAAAGGTGACCTACAAGAGAAGTGAGAGTTTAAGGTACCAGGCAAGTCCCAAGAACAGGGTATTTAATGGGTACTTTTTCAAGCACTGTCTGTAGGGATCGAAGGTGAAGTTTCTACCACCTAGAAACCAATTAGTACTTCTGACTCCTCTTCAAACAAATTTCTAACTAGTTCTATTCCTTTTATTGAGACCCCAGGGAACAACCCTAGGAGGGAATATTTTGAACAGCATACTCCAGAGTAACTTGCCAAGAGGGAGCAAAGGCCCTGCAGCCAAGAGCAAGAAGAGGCTTCCTGCCATGGGGAATGGAACCACCCAACCTGATGATGGTCCAGAAAGATCTGAGCTAGGGAAGGTAGAGAAAAACACAGAAAAATGTAAAGGGGCACCCCTAGGACCAGCATAGAATATTGCCTAGAGGACTTCCAGTGAGACAAGAGACCATGAAAGGAAGAGGAGATTAATATGTGAGAGCCTTTATGAAAACAGAGACTCCATACAAAAACAGTAAGGCTATAGAAAATGGAAAATGTTTCCTGTGCCTAGCCTTGAAATGGTAGGTGTGAGGCTAGCCCAATCCTGTAGATTTTGCTATCCATATGTTATTTGACAACTCTGACCTTTTTAATTGGTCTCCCTACTTTTCACTTTCTCTCAGTCACAAAAATCACTTCTGATAATAGTGCCAGATTAACCTACAGGGGGCTATCTAAGAATATTACAGTGCATTAGGAAAAGAGGAAATAGAGGGCTGATTTCTTTCAGTTTACATAGGAGAAGACATGGAATAATGCATGATTTTTCACAGGTTCTTAAAATCCATAAAGAAATTTCTGGTACTGGCAAAAAATAATTTGTTCTATGAAGCTAAAGGAAAAATAAGAGCAAATTTATAGAAATTTATACTTCAGAACTGAAACAGACTTCTCACCTTCAGAATGACAATCATTTCTCAATTACAGAGGTAACCACAGGTTATATCAGAAGAGAATAGAACACAGTTTACTGGGAATGGTCGTATCCAGAATCTGGTCATCCACTTAGTAGAGCTGTGTTTTAAGGTAATGATTAGTTCCAAAAAAAAAATGAGAAGATATAGCAGGTGTCATTTCAGGTAGAGGCAAGATAACAAACATTAATATGAAATGCTCAGTTTGCTGATCAAGAAGATATGCTTGGTAATAGTGAATTTTTTGACAGATGATGCTATTACAACTCTTAGAGAAAGAGAGGTATAATGATGTAGCAAAACGCCAGTCCAGAAACCCAGTGGAGAAGGAAGGAACAGGCAGGACAGCAACAAAAGCAATACAAAGAGGACTAACATGGACAGGTAACTGTAACAGGACTTAAGGCTCAGAAAAATAAAGAAAGGTCTAGAACAGAGATACTAAATGTGGACCAGTCATGTGAACCACATGAGTAAAATTCTTAACACCTTCCTCTAAAGTCAGAAATTGCATAAAACATAAAGAGATTGCAATAAGGCTAATCCAAATACAGTCAAGAGTCCCTGACATGCATCAATAATAGATGTCAAAACTTTTTTCTGAGTTCCTTTTAAGGTCATAGAAAGAAATATAGAGATTTAACTGGGTCATGAAGAAGATATACATTAAACTAGGACAAAGCACCACCATCAGCCATGCAGAAATACATGAAAGGATCTATGGACACGCCTTGGAGAAACACCTTGTGGAAAATTAAGCAGAGTAATAAGATACAAAGTCAATACAAAATTAACTGGATTTTTACATAATTATGCCTGTAGGGATCAGAGAAGCCTTCGAAATGAGGTACCATTTGAGAGAAAAGTTGAGCCGCCGAAATAGAATGCTCCAGAATACTCACTGGCATTAAAAAGAACACCAAATTTATAGAGCACAGAATTCTCGACGAACATCTAAGAGGGCAATGTGGAGGAAGCAGTGGAGAGAAGGGCAGTTTAGAGAAAAGCTGGACACAGACTGTGGGAAGCGTGAGTGCTCTTCTGAGAGCAGCAGGAGTTAAATAAGAGGTGAAGGCGACACCCAACAAACAAGGACATTGTTCTAAGTAGGGCAGTGACATCTGCACGTCAATGCTTTCATAGATTTCTTTCATAATATTCTCTTTTTTTGCAGGAGGGTACTGGGGATTGAACTCAGGGGCACTCAACTGCTGAAGACATCCCCAGTCCTATTTTGTATTTTATTTAGAGGCAGGATCTCACTGAGTTGCTTCCGCATCTTGCTTTTGCTGAGGCTGGATTTGAACTCACAGTCCTCCTGCCTCAGCCTCCTCAGTGGCTGGGATTACAGGTGTACACCATCGTACCTGGCTTCATAATATTCTAGC